ATATTTATCCGAGTATAATACCCCCCCCAACTTTATGGATGATTTTTTGGATTTAATTTAACGTATTATACTTGAATAAATACTGTAGCTGTAGAACTGTGGAATTAAGGAAAAGAGTACTTCATAAGGAGTATGGGATGTTTTCTTATTTTAGGAAAAATAATTCTGTGATGCTAAATTTCCCAGCATGCATTGTGTGACGTTCATTTGAAGTACCTTGCAGGAGTGCAGCATGTCAGCAATGGCTCTTCTGCTGAGGTTGGCGGTGGCAATGATGTCCTCCTGGCGACAGGAGTTCCCAGCAGCCACTGCTTTCGCTGTGGCCACGGTGATACCTTTGGTCATGCGAATGAACTCCTCGGGTGTGGTGGTCTTCGGCGGTGGGTCAGAACCGCAGAACACCTGCGTGGCAAAACCAGCGACACTGTGAGCGAGACAGTTCTAGCTATATTGTCACTGTTAGGAGGGAGCAGCGTCTCCTGGGTCAACAGTGGCAACACGTCACTCACAGCCAGCTCCTGTTTGATGTGTTCGATGGTGGCCTCCAAAGCTCTGGTTCCTTTGGTGGCTTCATCCTCCACTGCCTTCACAGTTTTCAGCAGAGACGTTACGTTGGTCACCATCACCTAAAGAGGCCGGGGCAGATCACACAGATGCAGATTAGACCCCGAATAAAGATGGTATTTTTAATGTGTTCTGATCTGATGAAACAGTTGAAATGATTTTGTTTGACTAAAACAGTTTCTAAAAACAAACAAGACGTTTTTCACCATCTAAAAAAAGCTTACAAAAACATTACAGCTTTCTTTACTGTATGACGAGACACTCATTTTTTAAAAAACTATGTTTAAATCCAAAGTTTTAAAAAAAAATTATAGTTCAGCTGTTTCTATACAGTATGTAAACACTAGGGGTGCAACGATACAGAAAATTCACGATTCAGTTCGGTTCGATACTTTAGTCTCATGGTTTGATACTTTTTCGATACAAAAAAGAGAAATTTCCATGCCCTTTTAACGTTTAATTTATTTAAATTAATTATGAACATTTGTTTAACCTCAAAAGTCCAGTTTTTAAATTAAATGTTGCTGAAGCAGCAAGCTTCTCAGTGGATCTGTGCTCAAAAATGCAGCCTAGGTGGAGTAGTCGAACACAGATCCACTGATCCTTTAACACAGAGCATCTTCAGAAGACAAACTGATAAAATATATTTTAAAAATCTGTATTGTTCGATACAAGTGTGTATTGAACCTAAAGCACTGTTCGATACAGTTCGATACGGGTACATGTATTGTTGCACCACTAGTAAACACATGTAGAGGTTTGGAGCTATTTCAGAACTCATTCATTATTATTGTTGAGAGAAAATTCACAAATGTTTTTTGACCAGTATTTGACACTGAGTTGATTAACTTCAACAAAATAAATTTTAATCTCTGTAATAATGATTAGAGAAGTGGTTTAATTCAGAGCTGTGGGTTTCATTCAGACATTTGAAATAAACCTTAATCGACTGTGACTGAAGTGTGAACTTGGACACATAAAAGAACAAACAAACATAATCTGAGATACTGTATTTGTTTCTCTACCTTCGCAGAGCTCTTAAGCTGGAGCATGCTTGGGTCATCGTGAGGTTTTCCTGCTGCTGCCTTCGTGGCACTGATCAGGTTGCCGAGAGCTTTGGCCACATCCTTCACCGCGTTGATCAAGACCACCTGCAGGAGACAGACACACAATGCGTGCTCTCAGAAAACTGCATTCAGATACAAGCTGGGTAACTTGTTTTAAAGCTTCACTGTTAATTAAGACAGAGACAATGACTCCACCACAGGAAGCTGCTTCCTCAGCTTAAACTCTGATGTTTAAAGCTTAAAACAGAGTTTGATAAATTTATAGAGTGGTGCATTCTACTACTTCTGAATAATTCCACCTTCACCAGAAAAACTACACAATAAAAACTACACTTAGACTCATGCACAGAGTTCCTACAGCTTAAGGCAAGTTCAATTTAAGGCATTTTAATACCTCTTTAATGCCACTTGAAATTAAATTTTGGACCAACTTCACAATAAACACAAATAGAAAAGAAACCCATTTAGTGACAATTTTACCCAAATGTTTATTTTAACACAAAACAACTAGCTGGGAGAGGCATTCAGTAAATTATTTTAGAAAATAATTGAATGTTACCAATTTTTTTTTTAGATAAATGACAATCATCCTACTTTCAATGCGTTACATTTTTAAGACCTCTAAAAGATTAATTTAAGACATTTTAAGGCTAATTAAGGCCTTATTTTTGGATGCATGAATTTAATGCATTTTAAGATTTTTTTTTAAATCCGCGGGAATCCAGGTCATAACTCCAGATGATTTTTTTCTTCATAGAAAGTTTGTCCCTGACAGATTTTTGTAATGTCATATATACAGTATATATATA